TGCCTGCCGGGTTAAACCACAACACCTGCATAAGCATCTGTTCAGTAAGACTTAAGATGACAGCAAGACAACTCTTTGCACATAACACCCTTTTGGCAACAGGAAATAAACTTGCATTACTAAGTTACTATGGTTTGAAATTTCCAGCAACAAATTTGAAAATTTTCACACACGACTAAAATTGCAGCCAACTTTGTCATGAACTTCAGCAATTTAAACCAACAGACACAACAGCCAAAGACAACTGCACGATAGAGAGGTCAAAGATCAAGACCGGGCCTGTTGTGACAGAACAAGGGGGAATGGTTTTAAACTAAAAGAGGGTAGATTTAGACTAGATATAAGGAAGAAAGTTTTTACAACGAGTGTGATGAAACCCTGCAACAGGTTGCCCAGAGAGGTGGTAGATGCCCCATCCCTGGAAATATTCAAGGCCAGGTTGGACGGGGCTCTGAGCAACCTGATCTAGCTGAAGATGTCCCTGCCCATGGCAGGGGGGTTGGACTAGATGACCTGTAAAGGTCCTTTCCAACCCAAATTATTCTATAAAACAAAAAATATCTGTTCAAGAAGTGGTTCCCCTGGGTTGGTGTGAAATGAATGAACAACAAAAAGATGAATTAAGTCATTTTCAAAACAGATTTTAAAAACACCAAATGTTCTTATTTCTATGAACGGGCTCAGCCTGGAAGGGATTTGCAAAGATGACAAGAATAACCTCGGTTCATTCACAATTGCAACATTTGCTCAGGAGAGGCTGCTGCCAAAAACGCAGAAAACTCAGCTTCAAACATGAAGGCAGAATGGAAAAAGGGTGAGAAAAAAAAAATTGACAGCAAACGCTCCAGTTAATTTTTAAAATATAACACATTTTGGAAGAAAAAGTAAAAGGAGCCTGGTATTTATTTGGAAAGAGTTTGAGTTAAATATCTCAAATGTTACAGGATACACTGCAGAGTTAGAGCAGAGATTCCTGACTGCACAGAGTCAGCAATGCAGAGCCATGTGGGTGTTTTTATGCCATATGGGTGTTTCCATGCCACACGTCTCCATGTTTAGATTTCGCAAGAGTTCATTAACCTAGGTACAATAATGAATTGGAACTACCTTGCCGTAGTTCTACAGCACTGAACTCGAGCTGGTAACGCTCCCAGAGAATTTGCAAGGGCTGTGCACAGGCATTTGCTACTCTGCTTTTTTTGCTACTCTGCTCAGCTTTAGCAGGACTGGCACCAAGCCTAGACTCGTAATTCCAGCTTCGTATCTCCAAACTCTGTTCTCCAGTGCTGCTTGGTCCACATTTGTCTGAGCTCTCCCAGCACACAGCCAGCTAAAAAGACTAATGAGGCTTATAGCTCAGGCCACACACACTGTATGCAACTGGCTGTAGTGCTTTCAGACTGAGCTAGCCCAGGAGGGAGCAAAGACGCGTTCACAGTTGTGCTGCCGCTAATACACGCCACATGGATAACCTGCAATCTGACCAGTGCATGTGAGAGCTAACTACACTTTTCCATACTATGTTTTAGCCTTCCTCTAAAGGAGCGTTATTTCCCCACTCTAAAACAAACATACAGCATACAAAGAAGTGTTTGTATACAACAAAACAGGACAGATTCACCTTTAGCTAACCAATAGTACTTCAGCCCAGAGACAGATGAGCAGTAATAGAAAGCCATTAACATTACCAGAATTATAAGGTGCATTTGCCCAAACAAACATTACTTATCATATGGAGTAATTATTAAAGACAATTTATATTTCGAGTCACTAATGGGAACAGCTTTAATGCTTCTAAGAGATATATCAACTGTACAGGGAGCAGCCTGAAGGTTTAGGAAGAAGAAAAAAAGCACATTTACTACCAGGCTAAGAATCTACTGGGTACTTACGGTTCAATGCTGACCGGGGTGGCTTCCCCCACTACCGTAAGAACAGGAGGGGTAACTTCTGAACTATCTGCAAGGAAAAGAAAGAACTGCTCAGACAGCTCATCTTCGCATTTGAAATATATTCTTCACATAGCTTTTAAATCTATCGGAGCTATCCATCTCTCAAAAAAGGTACCCATACACTTAAAGACATTCAAGATGACCAAGAACTTACCTTCCAGTCACCATCTACATCTTAGTAATAACTATTTACTGTCCCCTCAGTTCAAGATAATAGCAATCTATTATAGAGGAGAAACTGACTTTTCCATTCCTAAGAACGTCAGTAGGGGGTGTTGCAGATCAGTTGTGAATGCATCTTAACATGCATGCCCAGATGGAAGCAACATTGCATTTCCTCCCCAGACTATCATGAAGAAGTCCCAGTTCTACACAACCATACCTCCTAAAGTCATGATCTTCCTCCTATTACTCCACAGTTCCTAATCATAAATTAGCCAAGGAAGGAAGGAAAAAGTGGAACTTACTTGATCTAAGCAGAGTTCTGTGAGCACTTTTAGGAGTCATTGGAGGTGGAACCGAATGACCACTTGAAGAGAGGATAGCATTAAAATATAGCCCAGATCCTTCTCTCACTGGACTAAGAATTGGTGGAGGAGTGTAAGGAGGTAGCTCAAAGTTCCTATCTGAAGGATGATCTGCCAGACGGACAGGTGACCTTAAGTGGCTCTGATACGGAGTAATGTTAGAATAAACAGGTGGTGCAATAAAGGTGCCAGCTTTTGGTGGTATGAAGAGTGGCTCAGGTCTTGGCCGCTGCTTTGGTTTCCGGGCAAAGCCCTCTGCTTCATCCTTTGGAACAGCATCTTCGTGCTATTAGAAAAAAAAAAATACATACTTAATTTCATTTTAAAACCTCAGGCCATTTGAAAAACTTCAATGAGATGACAACATTCTTTCATGGCAGCTCAAAATCTGGATAGGGCAGTTAGAAGGTGTCTCAACAATTAGCACAAAGGGAAAAGGAAGAAGATGGGGAATGGAATGGACACAGGAACTATTAGGTAGCAACACTAGCTCTGAGTGCTTATGAGGTTACATTTTACAAGAACTACATATATGCTGGTCCAACCTTTGGTTGGAAAGATAATGACCTCATGGTAGCTTTAAAAGAGGGCATAAGAGTATAGCAGAATCCTGGTACAGAGACAGGGTGACACCAAATAGCAGTAAGAGAACAGAAGACAATATAACAATATTGTCTTAGATGGTCAAGCATTTAAACGCAGAGAAACCTCCTTAGATGCCTGCCATTTCTCTGGTATCTGAACATTCTATTGTACTTCTGAATAGAAGAGAGGGAAAAAAAACCCACCAAAACCAAAAACCCACTCAACAGTACCACTCTGAAGGGGAACACTCAAGTACTGACCTTCAGAACGTCAGTAAGAGATTTCAATCCCATGAGAATAAATCTTCACTTTGGATTTTATTCATATGCACAGATATGTGCACTACTCACAATTTATTATTTTCTATATATGCATGGAGAAAGCACTCTTTATTCTAGTGTTTATTGTAGTGTTATTGACCATCTGGCTTTATTCACTGTTTAGTAGTGGGGCATTGCTTGGCTCTACTAGCATTAGCTGTAGGTCATGAAAAGCCAGTGATGCCCAAATATATGGCAATATTATGATGAAAAAAATAAACAATCCCCAGACTACATCCATTCCAAGTTCAAGCCTTGAGATCAAACTACTTTAATAGCAAAGCTTATGGATAAAAACTACGTAATTAAATCTAACAGATTTGGCTCATCTTTGGCTTCTTAGTCTATCCATACCTGATTTGAGGTTTCCATGTTAGTATTACGATTAGATCGCCTCCGAGTGACTATCACAGAAGGCTTGCGTTCACAAGGAGCTCGATCATTTGTTTGGCCTCTCTGGAGTTTTCCATCCTCAGACTTTTCCTTTCCAAGGCTCTGCAAGTCAATTTTTCTCACTGGCACAGACACAGGAATGATAAGAGGCACGAGGCTGTTATCTTCCCGGGCTCTTTTGGGAGCTGGTGAAGAACTGGCAAATTCCACAACACTTTTTGCAGCTGTAGGTCCTGGAGCTGTTATCAGCACACTCTTCTTCTCTTCTGAAGTATCCAGTTCCTGAGAAGAAAAATAGATTCCTTAAAAGTTCTGTAGTGCTTACATAATAAATGAGATGCTATCTCACTTTCAGTGTGTTATCAAGTTTCTCAATGCAATTTGCAAGCTGAAATGGATTTGGAAAAGTGTTACTGGAGGAAAAAGAATACTTCAACAAAAGTGTTACCAAAATTTCTTAGAATTACTTGAGGATTACCTGAAGTCTCAACTGCTAGAATATTTGTGTACATCATTCTTAAGTATCATTTCACTACCTATAGTTTGATATTTTATTTTCCAGATGAATTTGTGCCCTGCCATATAACTGAGGTTCCTCAGTTTTAAAAGTGATCATAATCTGCAGGTTATTCATTTCAAATACTGGACTTCCATTCCAGCAAAGACTGAACCATGAGAATCTTAATTAAATCTCTCATACAAAAACCAGAGCTAGCTTTTTGTTGCATTTTTTCCGATTTACATGACAGAAGCAATTTTCGTTATTATAACTGGAGCCTTTGAGGTTTGTTGTCTAACCAGGGTTGAGCCTGAAGGACTTTTGCTCAGCAGAATCAAGAAGGCATAAATGCAAGCTGGCACTTTTTGCATTGGTATTACAGCTTCCATGTCTCTGCTTTCTTTTGCTCATGGAAACCCTAGAAAACTGAGCTCCAAGGAGATGGGAATGGAGGATGAGGTACTGAATAAATACATGGATACTGTTACACCAAATGGCTTCAGGTACTGTTAGATCAGTGATTTCTAGTCCTTCAAATGACTATCCACATGTTCATTCCATTCTCAATTCAAAAGCAGTTGCCAGCTCACTTAGGAGCCAGATGTTAAAGTACAACTTTCAAAAACACCTCTCTTCAGGGATGTAAAAGGCCCTCCTGAGCTCTGATGAAGTGCAACCTAGAAGCTGTAGAAGATGCTCCTTCTGGTGTTTCAAAACTTCTCTCTAACTTAGAGCTCTGTTTGGAAAGTCTTTGGATAGGATTAGGTATGCAAACTCATCCTCCGTCAGAGCCACAGTCTACTGAGGAATCTGCCTGAACAGCTGTGTTTTGTAGCTGGAAACTAAGGCACATTATCTCTCAGGTATGACAAGAGGTCTCCAACCTGGACTTCCAAAATTTTGCAGAGATTTATTTAAGTCCTCAAAAAGAATCTATTGTGTGCCATTAAAAATACCTAATCCTGATTAAAACGATAGCATAAGCAGGTTCTGTCATAAGGATTCAGACACCCCCCCAGTCATTTCTCTGTGGTCATTGATCAAGAAAGCTGGCTTCACTGATGAGCGAGAGAACACGCTCCAGCCGGCCCATGAAGAGTCAACCCATGATAGCTAGACATTAGACTGAAATCCCACTTTGATACTATATTTATATTGAGGGAAGCACAACTGTATTGTCACAAGATGCATCAGTCAGAGCCTGGAGTTAGTGCCCTGGCTGTTAGTGCCTCTCTCCAAATGAGAGTCCTGGTGATTTTTGTTGCTCTTAAGAGCAAACAGGTCCACTCTGAAACACTAAGCCTTCAAAAAAAGCTAGGTGCCAAGCCTGAGCAAATAAAATCAATCCTACCAAGAATATTTAGGACTGCCTCTTTCCTAGACCTTTCATTAGAGTAAGGCTAAGCGTGCACAGAAAGGTTTATCCCGTAAGTGACACTGCAGTTCAGAAGTCTGACTGCTTCTCCACCAAGACCGGAGATATCTGCACCCGCCACACAATGATGAAACACACAACTGAAAAGTCACAATTGGCATCAGCTGCCCCAGATTGCACTGCAGGAGGAATTAATAAACTCTGAGGACTTCCCTTCACTCCAGGCTGGTGATATTCACCTGTACTTTCCCATGAGAGTACCAATTTTGGATTTGGAAGGCATTCATCATGCTGACAGACATGTCACTAGGGACCACTACCTCTAGACAGTAAGGGGTTCTTAAAAATTTTTGTAGCCTCTCTCCACTACTTCAGGAAAGAGATACTAACAAGGATGCCTTTTTAAACATATAAACAGGTCATCTACTGGAAATGGATGCCTACTTCCACTAGTCCTGCCCGTATGTGAAGAAGCAGTTCACATTTGGCTTCATCTGCTATATGTGGCCCTCCATTCATCAGGGAAATTTACGCTGTCATCACCTTATTACTGAAGCCTGGATAAACATCCGGGATAGCACTGGGGTCTTCTTCTGGCAGTGAGATCCACAGTAGATAGTTTTGCACCACTGTTTAAAGCAGTACATTCATACTACATTCTTTAGACCACTGCCAAGAAAAGTCTTGGGTTTTATCAGATTACTTTTTTTCCTCCTGATGTAGCTGTTACTAGTGCAAGCACTCTAGCATACTTTCTGGGTACCTGAGAGAATAACGGTAATCAAACAAGTAATGGCAATACGAATATGCGAATGAGCACCAATTCTGACCAATCTACAAACCTCAGATACTTCCTGTGTGCTATACAGACCTCTGTGGGTCAAGAGACATGAACTAACTTCCTGACTACCAGGAGGAAATCATGGCAGCTAGTCACACAAAAGATGTCACATTTCTTTGGGTGTGTGATCAGTTAACCATGCTCCTTTTATTTTCAATATTGGGAGGTAACCAGCAAAGGACTCTCTTCCTTGATGATGGGAGAGATGACCCCTTCGAGAGAAAAGAGGAAGGAGGAGACCTGAGCAGTAACAGATAGAGAGAAAGCACCACTGGGAACTTAATATAAATAAGTTGAGATATCCTTAAAGATGCTCTGGTCCACAGCAGAGCTTTTCTGGCCATGAAAGATCACACATACCTAAGGTTTACTAAGAGGGGACACGACTGATTTTGGAATTAAGCTATTTGTTTCAGATCCCTAAATAGTTTCTCAACTGTTTGATTATGCTCAGAGGTAAGCAGAAAGGACCCACTGAACAAGGGACAGGACCTTCATTTGTAGAACTGCTAGGGGATTTTCAGCTAGCTCAGCATCTCTGTTGCAGAATGTGGGGCAGGAGGGCTGCTGGATAACTCCAGCAAGTGCAACTTGCTGCACTTCCATTTAGACTCTTGCATAAATATTGAGGGATGAACTAGTGATCTGGAGTCCTCCAGGACACCCACAGAAACCCATCAGTCATTTCGGCATTGATCCTGTCTATCCCTCAAGTGGTTTCTAAAAAATTTAGAATTCACAGACAAAACTCAATTGCGATTGCTGGAAGAACTGTTCCAAGGCCACTGCTGTGATCAGACAAGAAACCACACCAGCCTTTTAGAAACACCTGCCCATACAGTGCTTTCTGCCATCATTCTGCATCATCTTGCCAACAGTAAAGGCAGCTTCCCTCTGCAGTCAAATTGAAGCTTGTCCATGAAGGAGGCGAGTCCAGACCTGCAATTCCACAAATAATTTTTTTTTTTTTTTTGTATGGGGCAGCTGGTACCCTGCCCTGTGCCAGAGGAAAGAGGCCAGGCAACTAAAACCTCTATTTCCCTTCCACAAAGGAATATTTAAATCCAGATACTCTTAAGACGACCATTTCAGATCTGAGAAAAGTTTTCGCACTATTAAAGAAAACATATTACACCACCTTTTTGCGTATAACAGTTATATGTGAAATGAAACCATAAAACTAAGAGTTGAGAATTTGCTGTAGCCTGTAAGCAGCAATAAGCTTGCACCACCTGAAAAAGGCAGGCACAGTAAGATGGGCAGCTCTGGTGCAAAGCATCAGTTGTGACACTATATGTAGGCAGATACTGCTGTCCAAAATACTGTTTTCGCATAAGGTACACACACCTATACTGGAACGTTCAAACAACTGGTTCAAATTATTAATGTATCTTCTTTCATCAATAATTTAACCCTACGGTCCTCCTATATGCTCTTCACACAACCTATGCTAGAGAAGGCTTCCAGGTTGTTTATAACAGAAAGCCACTGATAAGAAAAGCAGACCACTCTCCTCCAGTAAACATGTTTTCTTTTTCTCCCTCACATTACATCCAACCCCCTTAAAGATGTAAAATCCATCAGACCTCAGGTAAGAATTTTAACATCTTTCAAAACCTCATCCTGAAAGCCTGAAGAGATCTAAACAGAAAGAGTTCTTCTGCTAGTGCCATCATGGAAGCAAACAAGCTGCTTGCATAACTGCAAAGAACAAAAGAGCATCTGTCAAAACACTTCTCTGTTTGGTCTTCACGTGATGAATCAAGCTGCAAGCAGACAATTTCTTGCTTCGCCTCTCAGGGCCTTTCTCTAGATGCTCTCTTAGCTTTTTTCTTGCCACTGTGTTGGTGATCAGACTGCAATGTGAATTGTAGGCCTTCCTGCAATATAACCATACAATGGCTGAGCCAGTATGAGCAAATAGCTCACGCTGCTAACTACTACTAGTTTTCTATCGAATCTGCTTGTTCAACTGGAATTAGAGCAAAAAGGATTGAAGACAGCATCAGCAGTCACTGGTTGCTGTCTGCTGTGCAAGAGATGGAGTAGGCTATGGATATTTGCCTCATTGTTTATTAGTTCAGTTTTTTCACTCAAACAGCACATCCCTCTAAGGAAGGGATTGGAAAAAATGGCCACAGACAGACTAGGAAAAAAACGATGTCAAGAACAAAAGAGGGAATAAAATCCCCTTCCCTTTGTTGTCTGACTGGGCAGCAACTCAGGTGGCAAAACTGTAGGTGAAAATAGCTCATGCTCTAACACCCATATTTCATCAGCCTCTGGCAACAAAGCTTCCAAAGAAAAGTGTATCTTTACTTCTCATGAGAGGCACTCAATGAAAGATTAGTCAAACCACAACTGAAAGAAAACCTCCAAAAAAACCCCTCAAAAAACCCCCACCCAACTCCAAAAAAATCCCACCACTTGCCTCCCCTAGGCTAGTTAATTTTGAACCCTGTCATCTTGCCATATGGAATACATACTGTAGAGTTTAGACTGATGGGACACCAAAAGGTAAGAGTAGTGAACTACCTAATCAGACAACACTAAATTTCTTCCCCATCAAGCCCTACAGGCAGACTTTGTCCTCAGGTTACCAAGGTCTAAACATTCGCTGCAGGTCATTCTCAGAAACAGGATACCGCATCAGACAGACCTTTGTTATGCCTGGTATAAGTTCTTCATGTAAGTGAGGCTTCCTCAGGCTTTTAGTATCTGGGAAATACTGAACATGTAAATTGCATTACGTAATTTTTAGATAGCACAATTTAGGAACACTTCAACCACTAAAACTGAAAAACTGGCAGGTAAGCAGAAGTCTTTTACATAAAAGGAAGATAATGTTAAATTGGTGAAAAGACACCAAGTGAACTGCTTAATACCTGTCTCTCCAAATTCCTGATCAGCTTGAGACCTAAGCTGAAAACATCCATATTTTGATATGGACTAAAATCACATTCAGTATTAGTGAAATAAAACTGCCCTTAGGTAGTTTCACTGCACTAGGAGATCCCTATCCTCCTGCATCTATGAATTACAGTAGCTGAACTTACATGCCACCATTCCAGAGCTGCCCTTGCAGTACTACAACGCTTCTTGCATCAAGACACCATCCTATCCTGCATACATACATAAATTCCTTTCATTTCAGCTCTATTTTGTAGTGCTATATTGGTTAGGATGTATACCTTACCTTCACATTCTGAAGAGAAGCCAGCTCAACAGCTTTTTGGGCCAAAGTTAGCAAATTGGCTTCTTGAGAAACACGCCGTCTCCGTCGTGTACTCTGGATTACACCACCTCTGACACCTTGAAAATCATTAGTTCTCTGAGTGTTTTCTTCAGCTGCCTGTTTCTCCCCATCTCTACCATTCTGGGCTGCAGCTTGCCTGTCTGTTTCCATCTGGCACAGCTCACTATTGACCAGGACATCCTTCTGCCCCATATCCACTCTCTTGGGGTGCGAAAAGCTACTTTTGTTGTGAGTCAGCGATTCAGGCAGCTGCTGTAATGGGACCTCTTGCTGATGTGTTTGCCAGTGATGCAGAAATAAATTGCTAGGTTGTTCTTCTGCCTGCTTGGAAGCTAACACTTCTCCTCCAGATGTCAGCAGGACACCTTCTTTGGAGAGTCTCCGTGACCTTCTTGGAAAGGGAATCTGGGTCTGAGGTAGCACAGTCTGTTGGTTCTGCTCTGTTAGAGCCTTGAATAGTTCCTGGTTCCTCTCCGTTTGCTGAAACTGGTGTGCCATCATGTGATGCTGAGGTGCGGCAGCTGCCACATGAGGCTGTGCTATGGAAGTAGTTTGCTGCAGGCTGAAGGCTTGTGTGGCAGCCTGTTGCTGCTGCTGCTGTTGAGGATAGAAATTTTCAAACAGTTGTAGCTGGGGAAGAGCTTGCTGTTTTTGCTGAGCAGTAAATGCTGGACTGGAAGAAGCTGGGGCTTCTTGAAAGACATGTAACAATTCAGGAAGACCCTGCTTTTGGCCTTGGTGACCAAATGCAAGTTGGAAAGGCTGTAACGGCAGACTTTGATTCTGTTGCTGCTGTTTCTGCATCTGATGAAAAGAATTCATTTGAGCTTGCTGTCTAACCAGGGCTTGCTGTTCCAGCTGAGCCTTCTGGGACATCATCTGCTGGACAGCATCTCCATACAAGTCCAGCTGTGACACGAACACTCCTTTCTCTTGATTTCTTTTAAGGGCTTCTGGGTGGCCATAGAAGCCCGGGGCACCAGCATTGGAGTGGGGTCCTTTTGGGTTGCCCCCAAAAACCATACTGTGGTTCCACATCGAAGGTGGAGACTGCCAGTGGCTGTCACCCCTCTCTGGCAACCGGTTTCCCATTAGTGAATTCTGCCATTTGACAGCTGTTACTGTCTGGGACATCATCATTGATTCTCCCCTGTCTTGATTGTAAACAGAGTTCATCAAAGCAACATTGTTGGGGGCACTTGTTAATCCTCCTGTGTGAGAAATCTCCACAGTTTGGGAGACCGGTATATTCCCTCCATGACCATAGTACTGTCCTTCCTTAAGCTGCTGCTGTGGTTCTTTTGATGACACAGCTATTTCCTGCTCATTAAAATAGGCAATTCGTTTCCCAGTCCTTTTGCTTGAAGACTTTTGCTGAGCTTGAAGATTCATGGTTCAGTCTATTCTCCCAGCTGCACACACCGTATTTACAATCCACCCATCCCTGAGGCTGGGGGCGGAAAGGCACCGAAGTCTCTCTTTTCCATTCAGTTTTACTAATAAAGGGCAGGAAAGAAGTCCAGATGAAAGTGCATCCACTTCCTTTTTCTTCGTATGCTTCTCCCACTTCTTTTCACTCTTATCCTTTGTGGTTCAGAGGTCAGTAGGGTCCACTTAGTTACAGGTCCTGAAATAGAGAAGCAATTGCAATGAATCATCAACAGACATAACTGGCGCATAAACACTCACGCGATAAGCAACAACTTGTATGTCTGTCCCATTTCCCACAGAAATGAAGATCAGGATAATACGTGTAAGAAATAATAGATCTGACCTGCTAGAAGAATGTAATACAAAACATTAGCTAGATATCACACTGTATTTGCATGATGCAACTCCCAATTGCACACAAACTTCTGACTAATCACTCAAGCTCATCGTGAAGGTTTTTCTCTTAAATTCCCTCTCATTTGGCCAATTACTTCTATGTCTTCCTGTAGCCAGAATAATCTGTTTTTAATCTGAACTCAAAAACACAAACCAAAAAAACCCTCATGACTCGCCAAAAGAAAAATAACGTGTCATGCCACATTTCCCAAAGACATTTAAAACATACACATGTACATGAAGGCTGCAGCCAAACACGCAGCAAAAGATGCTCAATTCAGTGTTTTGAAGGAAAGGATCAGGCGGCAGCCCCCTTCCCCCAATCATTACAGTTGCTTTCCAATTAAGAACTGCCCACCAAGCATCCAAGCACTGAAGACAGGGCCTGCTCAACCTGTTGCCCTGTCAGATGCTTTCTTCAACAGCTGAAGGCAACTGCTCCTGCTCAGGTCACACTCATGGAAAAGTAGTTCAGGCAGATTGTTACAGCTGCTCCTGGACACCAGCAAATATCTGTTAGTGTAAAGCTACAAACATAATAGAAGAAAGCCTTTCCGGAACATGCAGTCCAGCTCAATTCTACCCTCCTCTTCCACAGAAAAAAGTTATCCACAAACTTAGGCTTTAAAAGCCTAGTTTGCAGGATTAAGGTCTAATGTGTTAACACATACACTAGTATTTCTAGTAGGACACCTAAAACCTTTTAAGAAGTTTAAGAATTTAATTAAATTTAAAGCTAAACTACTAACACTCAAGTAATTAAGTGCAAGTCTCTATTACTATCTCCTTTCAGTATGCACTCTGTCCCACTTCAAATCACACTGCCAATATATTTCAGAAAGACTTTAATAAATTGTTAAAAACCTATTCTTATTGCATCCCTTCTGCTATAAAATCACATTTCTTTTGAGTGGAGCAGGTAAGACTAACACACACTAACACACACTAATCCCCTCCAATGAAACCTGCAATCCCTTTATCTCTCTCTATAAAATGAAAAATAATAAAACAAAAGCATACAGCACTCTGAAGTCCTGTAACCTGAGTTTACTCTGAACGGATATGGCTACAGTGCAGTTTTTAATACTGGGGTGGGGTTGGGAGCATGAGGAGGAGGAAAAGACAAAGAGTTTAACTTACGCAACTTCCACCTCAGAGGCCAAGCTTGGCTTCAGTGCTACTGGAACCATGGGCCTGTGTTTCAGAGCGAAGTGACTCACTTCCTCAGGCTGTTACATAGCTGTTCCCCCACGCTCCCTCCCCCTTTGCCCTGGCTACAAACCGTGGACCTCTGCCATCCCGTATCACAGAGCCAGGGTGTTCCTCCCTCCTCTAAGCACAATGTCTCGGCTCATTTTCCAGTCCTCTTTCAACAGGACGAAAATAACTCTAGGAGAAATTATGGACACGTGAGATGGAAAATTCTCTCTAAACTGCAACTAGTACACAAACAAGGATTTCATAAAGTAAGTTTTTCCTATTTCAAAACTTCATTAGGAGAGGAAAAAACATCCTACAGCAGGAAACTGGATCCCTGGTAGCAAAAATGTAGAGGTGGAAAGGTTACTATATGCCTCTCAGGAGCATTATGTTACTCTCTCTCCTTGCTTTTTGCAGCACTGCTACAAATGTAACAGAGCTAACAGCTAAACCACAATACCTGAGGTAATACTATTAACAGTGGTTTCCGACCCTATCTTACTTTCTGAAATCATCACAAGCTATTTTTCTCTCCAAACTAGACAACTTTGCAATAGTTTTCCTTCCACTTCTGGATGGTGGATGCTTCTGTGTGTTTTTGTATTGATAAGTCACATAATTCTGATAAAAAGAATGCAAGTTTTTCTGTATATCAGAAGACATTACCACTAGGTCAAATTTAAACCTGCCGAACTTCAACGATCCTTGTTTTTAACCTTTCTAAAAAGGGGGCGGGGGAGGGGGGAGAAAAGAAAAAAGCAAACATCTGATGCTGTTCTTAATAGTGGTGGCTGAGATTTGCAACTGCCACACACACAAGTATCCAGAAAACCTTTAGAAAGAGGGCCCTCAGGTTAGTGAGAAAGCATTGCATTAGCACAGCTCTCCAAACCTCCACTTGTGCAGACTTTGGCTCTGTTTTTTCCATTACTACAAAAGAAGCCGCCAGCATTGCAAAGCCTAACTCAGACCAGTTTAGAACTGCACCTATCTAGGAAAGAGGTGTAACAAAACTATTAAGATGCAAAGTTTACAAAAAAAGTAAGTTCAGAGATAACCTAAAGGAGGGAAAGGAAGATGTACTTGTGTGTTCCATAAAGGGAGTCCTAAAAAATATTATATGCCTCTTACGGAAGTTATCTTGTCACTTGAGAAGACTGTAGTGATTGAAAAACAACTGAAGTTACAACAGCACAAAAACCAGGAGCGTGAAAATGACATTACCGTGGAGGAAAGAGATTTAAGGTACTTTGAACAAAACACACTTATTGAACATCCCAGCTCTCCTAACTGCATGCAGAAAATAAATAAATCCTAACTAAGAGATCAACCAAGAAAAAAGAGGATTTGGTGCATCCAGTATTAGATGGTAAAAGAAAACATCACAAAATTAGCTTTTTAGAATTCCTTTCTACATAGAAAAACTGCACAAAAAGATCTTGTCGGTCATCCTAATAATAATAGTCTATAGTTTAAGCTGAAGTGATAGATGTTCAAGCTGCAGCGTGACTATGCTCCAGGAAAGCTCACACTTGGCAGCTTCATTGGCTGAGCACTGCTGGCTCTATGACTAAGCAGGCTTCCCTCCCTGAGGCTGACGGATGAGCTCACATTATCATCATCCTAGCCAATTACCAGCTTTGAGGTTTTTTTGTTTTGTTTTACTTTAATTTCAGCACAAGAGTCAGCCTGCAGTAGCACAGTAAAATGGCAACACACTTCCAGGCTTAAGTGTACTTTGCAGCAGTACGCCCTGACCATTTCTTACCTTTGAAAAAGCACAGAGCCAGTTCTGATACTGTAATCCCCAGAAGATACTGTGTCTTGCCTCCAAATATACTGAAGTGTTATGATACCTTGCATTGCTTTTACACTGCACAGAGAAAAAGCAGAACCTAGCATCAGTATATTTTATTCTAATAACTCTAAGATTTGGCATGCCACATCATCAGTTATTTTCACTTCCAGGAACTTCTGGCATGCAAGAACATCTCTCGACCTTTCTTAAGATGAATATGAATTATATGTCACCACCTTTAATAGTGTAAATATTTTCAGATTTCTAAGGAATTTTTCAGGTTGCAAGGCTTTCTCTTCGAGACCTAAAAAGAATGTCAAATTAGATATACATACTCAATGGGCACTTATGCAGTATTTTCTGGAATGAAAAAACCATAAGCAAAGCAACCTATGACACCTTACTGAGAGAAGTTAGGGTTAGCATTTTTACCTAAAACTTCTCCAGCATATCTGCACTAGAGTCTTAAAAGAAAATCATAAACACATAAAACGCTACATGGGCTAGATTTAGGCAAGGTCTCCTGAAGGACTTATTTAAGTATACGATAGTTCTAAGGAGGAGTCTCTGCCTGCATCCAGGATGCTGTTCTCAAATTAATGAAGTCCTTTCAAAGCAGAGATACCTGAGGAGTGCAGGGCACAGGCACTCAGAGCCACTCACTAGACTGGTACCAGCCCTGAGCACCCATTAGCAGATTTTACTCAACCCAAAGTAGGTTCTGTAGAATCGTTCAGACATCCTTATATCCATTGCAACTATCTTGTCCCAGTCTATCATTAGCCTGGAGCGTTTGCTATAAAACCTTTTTAATGTTTTTGGTTTTTTGAATTAAAGTTAAAAGTTTATTTGATTTAGAGGACAAATGAAAAACATTCCATTGCAACCATTGAGTATAAAGTATCTTTAACTCCCTTTAAAACTTTTTGCTTGTATATTTAATAACCACCCACCATTGTTCCATTTCTTTAAATACTCTCTTTACTAAGTATGCGCATATTTGTACAATTTCACGTATCAAGTTCATGACCTCACACACTGTAGTAACCTTAAACTCTACTCTTCAGCCCAGCTGTTGACAGCTGTGCTGTCCTGTGCTTTGCTTAGTTCATTTGCTACATCACCTATATTTGGCATGATAAGTAAGTTTAAATTTTGCACATTCCTGATCTACTTTGAGATCATTTGCACATAATTCTCTCTGACAGAATGCTGCAGAAATGACTCGGCAAAGACTCTGACTTCTCCTCAAACCTTAGCAAAGTTCAGCATGCAGAAAATAATAACAAGTGCTCACAGACCATGTTCTATTTCACCACTTTAACCTTAGCTTTTAAATACTTCTATTTTAGTTTTTTTCATGTGAAAAATAAAAAGTGTTCCTGGGTTCTAGCAATGTACATTCTCAGCCTTAACTGCAACAATGCTGCCACAGTTCCTTACAGGAAATCTGTCAAATTAGAGTGATGAGAATCATTTCTCAGTAAATCCTCCTGCTGCCAGCAACTCAAATTACTGATCTCCCCTGTAAGAAGCTCAATCCCTTTTAATGATGACGAACAGATTCCAAGAACAATTTTTACATTTAAATCAAATGCAACAAGCTAGTCAGTGTCCTTCTGAGACAGAGCAATTGAGCCTTCCTTCTCTAATTTGCTCATTATTATGGTCAAATCCCACATTTACGAAACAGGTAAAGAATCATGACACACATTTTATTAATGAGGAACAAAACCAGAGGAACTAACTCACTTCTAAGATCACACAACAAACCAGGCCAAAAATCAAGAACAGAATACAGGATATGAGCTACCAGTT